TTTCTTTCTTTCTTTCTTTCTTTCTTTCTTTCTTTCTTTCTTTCTTTGTTGTTTTTTGAGACAGGGTTTCTCTGTGTAGCCCTGGCTATCCTGGAACTCACTCTGTAGACCAGGCTAGCCTAGAACTCAGAAATCTGCCTGTCTCTGCCTCCCAAGTGCTGGGATTAAAGGCATGCGCCACCACTGCCCGGCTATTTCATTCTTTTCTACATACTGTATTTTTCTTTTTAAAATTAAATTAATTTTTTAACTTATTTACTCTACATCCCACTCACTGTCCCCCTTCCTGCCACCCCCTCCCAGAATCCTTCCTTCATCCCCCCCACTCCTCCTCTGAGCAAGTAAGCCACCCCTAGGTATCCTCCACCCTTCAGGGACCACAATTCTTCCTCCTATTCTTCCATAAGAGTCTTCCAGCTGCATCCACTGTTTTGCTCTAGGGTGTCTGCGTCTGTCTGAGTCAGCTGCTGGGTGGAGCCTCTCAGAAGACAGTTGTTATGCTAGGCTCCTCACTGCAAGCATAACAGAATATCATTAACAGTGTCAGGGATTTGTGCTGGCCCATGATGAGTCTCCAGTTGGGCCAGTTGTTGGTTGGTCATTCCCTCAGTCTCTGTTTCCCTCTCCTGCCCCTGTATTTCTTTAGCCTTTTTTTGTGCTTAGTTTTTTGGTGGTATATGTCTTAGTCAGGGTTTCATTTCTTAGTGAAGAGACAATGTGACCAAGGCAACTCTGAAAAAAGGAAAACATTTAACTGGGCTGGCTTACAGTTTCAGAGGTTTAGTTCCTTATCATCATAGTAGGAAGCATGGTAACATGTAGGCAGACATGGAGGAAGGGCCAGAAGTTCCACTGTATCACTGGGGGTGGCTCTAGCATATATGAGACCTCAAAGCTGGCCTCCACATGACACAGTTCTTCTAACAAGGCCACACCTACTCCAAAAAGGCCATACCTTCTAATAGTGCCACTCCCTATGGGCCAAGCATTCAAACATGTGAGTATATGGGGACCATCCCTATTCAAACCACCACAGTATATAATTTGAGTCTCACTTTTGACATATTTTTAGTTTTATTAGAAGCTATACTAAAGATCAGAGTTAATGTATTACATTTATTTGTAACCTATTTGAATTAACATTACTGTAGCTTCAATAGTACATAAATCCTGTGCGCATATATATATATATATATATATCTGTTCCTCCATCTTTATGTCCTTTACTTAACATAGTATATAGCTATACATTACGCATCCACTAACAGAATTTTTGGTTTGTGGATTTGTCTGTTAAAGTCAGAGCAAAAAAGAAGTTACAATAAAAACGAACAAGAATGAAAAGGTCAGAGAGGGATTGCTCAGTGTGTGAAACACTAGCAGCAAAAGTGTGAAGCCCAGTGTTCACGTAGCCAGCACTCCTGCACATGCAAATGCAGCACAGGGGAATTGGCTATACAGGATCCCAGGCCAAGCTGGTTGGCTAGATCAGCTGAAACAGAAACCTGGATACTTTTCATATGGGAGACCTTGATTCTTCTTGTATTTATGATTTTAGTTCTTTTCTGTGGACCAGTATGTATTCTCTGGAAATTTTCAGCTTTCTGAAATTCACTGAAATATAATGACTAGGTGATCAACTATGTTTTTATTTTATATGCATGAATATTTTGCCTATGTAAGTTTATGCATACCCTGTGTGTACTCACAGAAGCCAGAAGAGGATGCCAGGTTCCCTGGAACCGCACTTAAGGTTGGCTGAGAGTCTCTGTGGGGAAGTTGAGTACTGATTAGGATCCTCTAGGGGAGCAGTAAATGCTGCTGATCTCTTTAACCCCAAGTGCTCAACTGTTTTGTAAAAATATTTACACACATACATTTGAAAGTTGTGTGTTCTGTGCTTGCCAGACATCTTACTCTCAGATAGAAACTAAATTGATCATTGGTTTAGAATTTATTTGTCTATTTTGGCCAGTCTCTGAGAGATTTTGAAATGTGATGCTTCTTTTTATTCAAACAAATTTTGCTTCATGTAATTTGAATCAATCTTATTAGTTGCAGATAAATTTCACTCTTCAGTTTTCCTGTTGATTTGAAATCTCTCTTTTTTCCCTTTTTTAAATTTTTTTGAAGTTTAGTTTTTCTGATGTTGTTGAACCAGGTTTCTTTTTATTTTAGTTTGCATAGTATATAATATTTCCTTCTTTTTAAATTTCAATCTGTGTCCCTATAATTAAAGTTTATCTTTTTTTTTTTTTGGTTTTTCGAGACAGGGTTTCTCTGTGTAGCCCTGGCTGTCCTGGAACTCACTCTGTAGACCAGGCTGGCCTCGAACTCCACCTGCCTCTGCCTCCCAAGTGCTGGGATTAAAGGTGTGGGCCACCACCGCCTGATTTATCTTTTTTTAAAAGTATATCTTTTCTAAGTAACACAAAATCTTAAAATCTAGATTAATAGACTATTATAGTTTTAATTCTATGTTTACATTTAATATAATTACTAATATAATTATATTATCTTGTTATCTGTTTCATATGTTTCTCATTTGTTTCCTTCTTTTTCTGTTTGACCAGGAATTTTCATTTATTTTATTTGATCTTCATTGCCTCTGCACACGTTATGACTTCTGCCAGAGTTGCTTTACTTTATGCATTTTTATTTTAACCACACTTGTTGGATTACAAATTTCCATGTCATTTTTTTTTTGAGACAGCATCATTAAATTGCTCAGAATGATCTTGACATTGCTGTGTAGCCAAGGCAGGCTGATAGTCTTCCTGCCCCAGGTTCCAGAGTAGTCATGACTGTGTAGAAATGTATCATCACACACAGTTTACTTTTGTGTGTTCAAGCCCTGCCTTCACCTGTTACTCGGATGCTGCTAATGTTTATGGAGGGATGATTAGCCTTTCTCAGGAACATGAAACTGAATTATAGTTCTGGAAAGCCATCTAGTAATGGCGTGGGAGAGAAACACACTGAAGTGATTTTGATGAAAAGTAAAAGAATTTGGATTTGGCGTATGAGAAAACAAAAGAGAGTTAGTGACTATAAAGTTTCTTTGAGGTCTTATATTCTTCTTATCAAAAATATAGGAAGTACAATTCTCATTATTATTTTTCTCTTTTAGGCAACTTTATTAACAAATGCTTAAGAAAATGGAATAAATATTTAATTTTAATTTTAGAATAGAGAATCAGTGAATAAACATGATTTACAAATACCATATTTTATTATTTTGTTTGTATGTGTATTCCTATTTCAGATTAATTTCTGCCAATATATTTTTTCTTATGTTACTATTTTAACGTATAGACCTAGTGTTCATCACTTAAAGAGCTTTAAGTTGAGTGTAGAGGACATGCCTATTAGCACCCAAGAAACTGAAGTAAGAAGGTTGCAAGTTCAAGACCAGCCTGGGCTATATAACAAGACCCTGTTCCCCCTTCCACACACCCCCCCCCCAAAAAAAAAGAAAAATCTTGAAACTAAGAACATGGTTCAGTGGGTAAAGTGCTTGGTGCTTGCTGTGAAAGTATGAGGATCCCAGTTCAGTTGTATAGAGCCCAGGTAAAAGCTGGACGCAGTCATATGTTCCTTTAACTCCCAGAGCTGGATGGGGCTTGGCAGGCAGATCTCAGAGGTATGCTGGTCTAGTCACAGTGGTGAGCTTCAGGCTCAGTGAGAACTACTGTGTGAAGAAAGGATCAAGGATCAGATCTGGCCTCCAAACATGTCCATGCACAGGAAAGCTTACCCATGCACACACACATACATGTAAAACACACCCCCACCACAAGCACTCAGAAGTGTATTACACACTACTCTTAAGTGATTAGTAAATATGACCCAGCTTTTTTTTCATTTTGTATAAATTCCCTTTTTGAAAAATCATGGTATTGTTTTATTCTTCAAAAATTCATAAGAATCATGATTAAAATTATATTTGGACATTTACGTTAAAACAAATGGTAGTTAAGATTATCTTTTCAGTGTTTTTCTGTTTAAAATGTAAGGTGTTTTATGGCCTCTTCTTGGACAGTTTCATCTCCCACCAGGCCTTGTATACCTAGACCATTAAGTTTATAAAATGTGGTTGTCTGGTGGAGGAAGCACATACTTTGTATTATGAAAGATAGGAATTCTTGGTGAGGATCATGATGCTGTCTGCCTGACACATTAGAGCAGTGGCTCTCAACTTGTAGGCCATGACCCCTTTGGGAGTTGCTTATCAGATACTTGTATTATGATTCATAACAGTAGCAAAATTATATACATTTATGAACAAAATAAGTGTGTGTGTGTGTGTGTGTGTGTGTGTTCACTACAACACAAGGAACTGTTAGGGATCCCAGCATTAGGAGGGTTGAGAACACTGCTTTAGAGGATGATACTTGAATCTTCAGCTTTAAAACATTTTCTCAATCGAAAATTAACAATCAAAATAGTGTTGTGTGAGTGGTGTTCTCCCCTGCTCCCTTATGGCCTTGTGGATGTTTTAGTTTCTATAGTCTATTATTTACTGTAGCTTGAAATTTCATTTGCAGGGTGAACCCTTCCTCCCCCATCTTGGCGTTGAGTTTTTTCTAATTCCCTACCCCAGCTCTTTTTCCATTTTTTCCACAGGTTGTTCTGTTTAATGAATCCTTTTTGTTTTTGTTTTAGAGACAGGGTCTTAACATGTAACACTGGCTGGCCTGGAACTTGGTATGTAGACCAAGCTGGCCTTGCTCACAGAGATCTGCCTGGCTCTAGTACTACTAGGATTTACAGGTCCCACGCCTTAGGAATCCTTTGTAACAGCAGTTTCTTCTCCTCCCTTCCTTTAACTTATTCTCATCCCAGTAGGTAGGGTAATGGTCTCTTGAGAATTTTCACTTTTTTTGTCTGTGATTATGAACTACCCTGCACACCTCTCCCCTCAAGTTTAGGATTTTGAGGTAATTTTATGGCATTGATATTCTAATGTGCATATAACTTTTCTTAAAAAGTATTGACAAAATCTACTTAGGCCAGTGACTTTTATTCCTATTGTTTTGTTGAGTTTGATAACAATCTAAAGCCTGGCTCATTCTGTCACAGGTTTTCTTCTTCCTGAAATTTATGTCCTGCTTTGTTACTATGTTACAGCTTCTTTAAGAGCACAGGCTCATGGGAGGAAGTCCTAGGCTGAAGTGTTAAACATTTTATAGACACAAGGTCCTCAAATTAGATACTGCTTTCTCAAAAGCTACCCCAGTTTGTATCTTTAACAAAACCTTAACAACTATAGTTCACAGGACAGCTCACTTGTTGAGGAGTCTTGTCTTTTTTGCTGAAATAAATGGTGAAAAGTGCTGTCATGTACAACTCTTTTATATTTTCTTCAACATGCATTATTGCATGCCTGTCGTGGGGATTTGCTTTACTAGAAATAATATTTTCTCCTGTATCATTATTAATGTTTAATCTTGTTTTTTAATTATAAAATACTTCAGTTAATATTCTTAATTATAAAATACTCCAGTTAATATTTTATGTAAGTATAAAGTACAAGCCAGTGTACTTAGGATTTAAATTTTATCATTTTGCCATTTCGATTTCTATAGTGTTCTTTTGTTATATTAATAGAATTTTCTGATTTAGCTTTCTCTGCAATCCTGTGATAAATGAACAGTGAACTTTGTTGTGTTTTTTTTTTAAAGAAACATTTATGGATTAGCTTTGTTAGTACTTACTTTAAGATTCTTATATTTATTTTGATAAATATAAGTTTGTGTTAAAATAATTGTGTTAAAACACAATGTCTTTTGTGTTTTGGTTGTGCTTTCATGCAACTTCTGAACCTGGTTGTTTTTGTTCTTTCTGGATTTTTCTTTTATTCCCTTCCACCTTCATTTCCCGTTTAAAAATGTAGGTAGATTCTGTGTCTTTAATATAGTTTTATCTAGCTTTTTTTTAATCTCTAAGTCGTCTTCTTCTTCTTCTTCTTCTTCCTCCTCTTCCTCTTCCTCTTCCTCTTCTTCTGTTTTGTTTTGTTTTGTTTTTCAAGACAGGGTTTCTCTGTGTAGCCTTGGCTGTCCTGGAACTCTGTAGACCAGGCTGGCCTCGAACTCAGAAATCATCTGCCTCTGCCTCCCAAGTGCTGGGATTAAAGGCATGCATCACCACTGCCTGGCCTAAATCTTCTTAAAAGTTATATTTTTTTTCTGGAAATTGTCTATTTTTTCAAATTTATTGATGTAATGTTCTAACACTGTCTTTTAATTTGCTTTTAATTAAGTTTTTTATAAGTTGTGCCTATTTTTATTCCTTGTCAGATATGACAATAGATATTAATGTTGTTAATTATTAAAGAAAATCAACATCATTGATTATTTTTGTTTAATCTACACTATTAACTTTCACTTTTAAAACTCTTTGTATGGACTGGAGAGTTGGCTCAGTGGTTAAGAGCATTGACTGCTCTTCCAGAGGTCCTGAGTTCAATTCCCAGCCACCACATGGTGGCTCACAACCATTTGTAAAGGGATTTGATGCCCTCTTCTGGTGTGTCTGAAGACAGCTACAGTGTACTTGCATACCTACAATAAAATAAAATTTAAAACTCTTTGTGTGTATGTGTGTATGTGTGTATGTGTGTATGTGTGTATGTGTGT